TGCAGGATATCAGTTTCAAAGATCAAAGCCCAGCTGGTGCCTCCTTCTTTCTCTCCCCCTTATCTTGCTACATTCCTTTATTCTCTGTGAAAATATCTTCCCCTCTTCCTGGTACCTTGTGACCTTTCTTTATTTTCTGTGAATGTATGTCTTCCTTCCTTATCCTGTGACATTTCTTTATCCTCTGTACAAGTAAGATAAGCATTTTGGCATCTTGGAGCTATTTCTGCCCTTCACATATGCATTCCTCCCCCATGGACCCTCTCTTTTTTTAAATTTCTTTATTGATTAAGGTATTACATATGTGTCCTTATATCCCTATTACCCTCTTATCCCCCGCCCCCCACTCATGCCCTCACCTCCTGTTGTCTGTGTCCATTGGTTAGGCTTATATGCATGCATACAAGTCCTTTGGTTGATCTCTCCCCCTTCTTCCCTAAGACTCACTGTCCTATCTCTAAAATCCCTTCCAAAGTGCTTGGATTTAAGCATATTTGAAATATTTTAATTCCTTCCAGTCATTAACCTTGTTTATGATCAAATTATTTTTGTCCAGTTGGAGCCTATGCAAGTTGGTTCTAGAGTTCTTTCTCAGTGATCCTAGTGGAAATTAATATCGTCCCTGTTTTCTGGTATAAGGACTATGAAACACCACCAATAAAGTAATCTTACGAAATATAAAAATAAATGGAACCTGAATCAGATCAAGCCACTAAATAGATCTTTAATTTAAAGAAAATACAGGAAATGGGGAAGCACCTTTCAATGATATATTATAATTAGGAAAATCCAGAAAGTGTGACAAAACAATTTTGTTTTATTTAGTAAATTTGATTTCAAGTAGTGAAAAAGATAAGCTGTCTAGTCATTAGGGAAACATTAAAGCAATGAGATCCTGTTGCACACATGTTAGCATGCCTCAAAAACTGGATAATACCATGGATGTGGAGCAATAGGAAAATAACATATTCCCCTAATGGGAATGCAAAACTTCATAGCCATTTTGGAATATGACACTTAAAAAAAAAGTATTCCTCACATAATCCAGTAATTTCTATGTACCATAGAAGAAAGAAAGCATGGGTTCCTATAAGAATCTGTAAATGATATATTAGAGTGGCTTTACTTATAATTCTCTAACTGAAAATAGCCCATATGTCTATCAACTAGGAAATGCTATGCAGTAGAATACTTTTCAGCAATAAAAAGGAACTTAACTATTGATACAGCAACATAGATAAATCTCAAATACACTATGCTAACATAAAAAAAAAAACAACTCAAAGACTATCTGCTATGTGATTTCATTCATTTGACATTTTGGGAAAGTCAGAACCATTGGCGCAGAAATCAGATGAGTGGTTGCCAAGGGCTTGGTGGGGAAGAGTCTCACTATAAAGCAGTGGTTCTCAACCTTCCTAATGCCGCGACCTTTTAATACAGTTCCTCATGTTGTGGTGACCCCCAATTTCATTGTTACAAATTGAACATAATTAAAGCATAGTGATTAATCACAAAAACAATATGTAATTATATATGTTTTCCGATGGTCTAAGGCGACCCCTGTGAAAGGGTTGTTCGACCCCCAAAGGGGTCGGGACCCACAGGTTGAGAACCGCTGCTATAAAAGATCACAAAGGAAATTTTGGAGGTCATGAGTGTTTTCTATAACTTGATTATAGAGTTGGTTATATAGATGTAGGGGTTTGTCTTAATTCATAGAAATGTACATTTAAAATGGGTGAACTTTATTAGTAGTACATCATGCCTCAATAGATCTAACTAAAAATATAATAGGAAAAGCTATTGATTAAAAAAAACACTTTAAAAGGAATGTCTATTCACTGTAATTTATAGTACTTATTAGATATTGATTTTTTGTTAAAGAAGTTGAGAAACTAAGAATATTAAACACTAGCTACTTGATGACATTAAGGGATTACTACTTTCAGTACTTTATTAAGATATTGTAGTTATATATAAAATAAATCTTTATGGTAGAAATACATACTGAAATTTTTACACATGAAATTATATGATTACTGGAATTTTCTTCAAAGAAATCTTGGAGTGGGAGAATAGTAAACATGAAATAAGATTGGCCATGCTGGTAATTATTGAAGCCGAATGATGACTACATGTGGGTCCAATGTACTGTTTTCTCTACATGTTAAAATATGTTTGAGATTTTCCACAGTAAAATTGAACTAAGGAATTATAGCTCAGTTTTATAAAAGTTTAGTAAATAGATTTTAAGAGTACTGAAAGAATATTCTGCAATGAATAGAGTTTATCCCAGAAATTTAAACATGGTTTTATATTTTAAATCAATGTATCATAGTGATTCAAATAAGAAAAATGACAAAATGTTTACAATAGACACTAAACAGCAGATACCAAGTAACGTACCCCTAATAGCAATTTTTTAAACTACAAAAAGGCAACAAATAAACTCCACTTTCTTAACTAGATGAAGACTAAAAGTCTTAATGAGATGATAAAGCAGGGGTGGGCAAACTTTTTGACTCGAGGGCCACAATGGGTTCTTAAACTGGACCGGAGGGCCGGAACAAAAGCATGGATGGAGTGTTTGTGTGAACTAACATAAATTCAAAGTAAACATCATTACATAAAAGGGTACGGTCTTTTTTTTTTAGTTTTATTCATTTCAAACGGCTGGATCCGGCCCGCGGGCCGTAGTTTGCCCACGGCTGTGATAAAGCATTGTTTCTCAAAGTGTGGTCCATGGACTACTGGTGTCTGGGGGAATTGGAGGTAGTAAGTAGTTAAAAATAAAGATCAGCTGAATCATGGACCCCAAGCATTTACCTGCTGTAAACTCTGCAGATTCCTCCCCAGTTAATCTTTGTTGCTTCCCTCCCTCATTTCTGTCCTCCTTCTTCCCTGGAAATAATTCCCACCCCTGGTCCCTGTTCCAGCAACTGAGAACTGAGTTATAGCTCAGTTATTTTATAGAAGATATTCTAAAAGAAAAAACAAATATTTGTTGCTTATCACATCTGATGAAGACCCCTCATCCTAGCCCAGCTCAAATAGCATCTCCTTTGTTAAATCCTCTGAGACCTGCCCTGCCAGCCTTAGCCTACTTACTTGCTAGGCTATCATATAGTCAATCGTTTAGTTTTGAATTTAACAGAATATATTTTAATTATTTGTTTTCATATTTGCCATCTGATTATGAGTTACTTTTGGTCAGGAAAATGATGTGTGGTTTTTATTTTTGTTTTTGCCTCCCTCAGTAGTAAGTATACTATCTGGCAAATACAGTAACAATGTAATCTATGCTTTAAAGATCTCGGATTTATTCATAAGAATTGTTTTCATACTTTGTCAATAATATATAAGGGCATTTAATAACAGAAAGAAAATAAAGAAGCCTGCTTTAATACAGTCTTTTTTTAATGTGGTATAGAAGGACCATATATGAAAGGAGAGAGAAGCAAAGGTGGTTATTTTATCAATTTTAGAAGATGGCTATTTTATTTTTAAAATTTTTAAATTAAAACTTCATTGTTTAAAGTATTACATATGTCCCCTTTCCCCCCCATTGACCTTTTCTAGCCTGCCTCCACCCCCTGCACCAGGCTTTCACCACAATATTGTGTGTTCATGGGTTATGCATATACTAGTGGCCTGGTGCACGAAATTCATGCACGGCGGGGGCGGGGGGGTCCCTCAGCTCAGCCTGAACCCTCTCCAATCTGAGATCCCCACAGGGATCGGGCCTAAACCGGCAGTCAGACATCCCTCTCACAATCCGGGACTGCTGGCTCCTAACCGCTTACCTGCCTGCCAGCCTGCTCGCCCCCACTGGCCTTTTCATCCCCAGCTGCCCCCATTGCTGGCCTGATTGCCCCCAATTGCCCCCCTGCCAGCCTGCTTGTCCCCAACTGCCCCCCCTGCTGGCCTGATCACCCTCAACTGCCCCCCCGCCAGCCTACTCACCACCTACTGCCCTCCCGCCGGCCTGCTTGGCCCCAACTGCCCCCCCACCTGCCTGCTCGCCCCCAACTCTCCCCCCTGCCAGCATGCTTGCCCCTC